TCGGCGTCGAGCAGGACGCCGGCCCAGAATAATGCCGCCAAAGTCTGCTCCGGATTACAGACGGGGGAGTCGCAAACCTGCCGATGTTCCAAGTTCTACCGGCTTCGACTTTTTTTGTTTTTTAAGTACTTTTTATTCAAAGTTCCACTAAATACGAAAGGCAAGTTGTCTGCTTCCATGCGCACGAATTACGGTGGCGTCAGGAGGACGTCGAGCTGTGATTGGCTTTCCTTGACAAGATGGTTGGTAGACCTTAATCAACGTCATTAGATTAGCTCAGTTACGGAAGTGCTCATAGACGCCGCTTGCACGAGCAGCCCAGACAGCATCCGCAGAGGACAAATTCGGTCTAAATCTGGCATTCATTCTCAGGTATCATCCAGCGAAACAGCGCAAAGACCGGAGCAGCGAAGAAGACTTACGAATCAACGGAGATTGACTTACCTGTGTCTGTTCTGAGGATGAGAACAATGGAAATGCAAGCTTTATTCCGCGGGCTCACACTTGACAGCGCGCTTTGGGGACGACTCTGTTTCCGTTTCTGCTTTGGTTATAAGCGCCGCATACGGACATCTAGAGAACTGGCTCGGCTCGCTTTTTCTGCTGGGCAGCCGAGCGTTTGGACAGGCCAGAGCTGGGCGCGCGAAGAATATCGAAGGCCATGACGGTGCTAGCCTACTTCGATGTGCAGCCGACAGATTGCGCAGCGCGATAAACGCGAGGACGCGTAAGAATTGGGTTGTGTGTATGTTTATACAGCCTAAAACTTGGTCTGTGCCTCAACGGGCGACGAGTCTTCCGGAGAAATTTTCCGGAGAGGAGAGATTTTGCGAGTGCAGTACAACCGCTAGCCTGGGGGTCTTTAACGTGCATCACGCAGTAGTGATACACGACCGCACCCCGGTGCGATGCTCATCCAGTTTGAAACGGGCAGGGGTGGGGATTGAGCGAAGATGCCTAAAAAGCCCCTTTCTCCTGAGAAAACTAGCGCCATTCATTGTTGTAGAAATGCTCGAGACACGTGCCGCGCGCCACTTCCGGGAAGAACGTCGCGTCTGGAATCTAGCTTAGTGCTGCTGTCTGCCGCCATGATCTTCCCAAGGGCTGCACGTTGCACGTGCCTCGTTCATCGACGCACCTTGCGCTACTTTTAAAACATGAAGGGGCTTTAGAGAATTCGGCGCCAGTGGCGCTGCGACCGACTATCTCCGTACAACGATAGGTGCCAACCGGACTATTACGGAACGTATAATATACGAGAGTTTAATATTAAAGGGGTACCAGGGGTGTCATGTCTCGCTTCAGCCTCGTCGTGCCTGTTATCTTCGGTTCGTGTGTTCCTCAGCGGGAGTTAGTGCGAGGCTGTCACATAAACCGTCTGTTCACAAACGTACACCGAAAAAGTAAAACAAAAAAGAATAGCATATCACGTTTGGGAAACGTGTTGTTATCGTACTAATAATTATTAATATTATTCCAGGTGATAAGTTGCAACTCGGTGGTGTTCAGTGCGAACGGGGGTATCTCGAGGTGGAGCTTGCTGCGCTACAATCCGCCTAAAAGATAAAATATTTTTCGATGTGTATAAAAATCCGAACGTGTCGATTATCCCAGTTCTCTACGAACTCAAATTTGCTCGTTCCATCATTTCCACAGGCCGAGGAAGTCTCTTTGCCACTCGAAGGTTTTGCATCCTTGCTTTCGAACGCAACTTTGTGCACGCTCTCTCAATTAAAAAAAAAAAAAAAAAAATGTAACTTTTTGGCGCATCTGTTTTTTTTTTTTTTTGTCTGTTTATTAAAACGTTAGTTGAAATTTAGTGTTTGTCCTGTCCAGCCTTCTAAAGGGCCGCCCACACTAGCGAGAAAACGCGCGTGGCACGCCGATCGCGGCAAGTAACAAAATGGCGCCGAAGCACAGTCAGCGCCACGAGCGCGTGCAGAGACACGCCCTTTATCTTCCCGCTTAACCGATTTATCGGCGCGCCGGGCGCGTTTTCTCGCTAGTGTGGGCGGCCCTTAATTGTCCTTGTCTTTTGCTCTAACTATATTTGAGCATGGATTGGTTTGATCTAAGACACCCCGACCATTAAAGACCTCGCAGCCATGTTGAACTAGGACGTAAATATTCCCGGCGACGCAGCCGGGGCAAGAGGTAAAATCAGTAAGACAGCCAACATTCTCTGTGGTGGCTTCTGTTTTTTTGAAATCCGTTTTCGGTACGCTTTTTCTTACGACGATGACTGCAGCAAGCGAGCTTTTTCACGCTTCAAAACAAGCAGTGTCGGGTTCGTGCTAGCTGTCGCCCTCTGAGCAGTCGCTATAGCCATCAATAACCAAACATGTTTGCTACTTTGTCGGTCTTTCGGTGCGTGTATCATCCGTGAGCCCCCGATGCCCAGTTCCATTGATCACCCAGTGTGAAATGATCGAATGGGAAGCGCATATCTGCGCCGCGGACCTCAATCGGTCGAGAGGTCGTCGGGTGGGCTGATCGACTGCGAGCGTATACTCGGTGGGCATTCGATCACGCGGCTGCTGGTCGCGTCTTGCGAGGCGCCCGAGGGCGATGGTTGGAAACAACGCGTGCTAGGTCCTTCTCGGGCCTGCGCTTTGCTCCGTCGAGGGAGCCGTGGGAGGGCTTCCTCCCGAGCGGTGCCTGCGGACGCGCAAGTTGCCGCTGCAACGTGTCGTCGAATCCTAGCAAATATGCGCGCAGTTCACGGCCCCCACTTCGAATCCAGCGTTTTCACAATTTCTCAATCAGTCCGAGCCTTTTGAATCCTGCTCCCGAATTGGTGAAGTCGCGAGTCCCTTATGTAAATTCAGTACCGCCTGACAACATCCACTGGTTGTTTCGGGGATGTTCCACACTCTGCGAAAAGAGGAAATTTCTTTTTCTTCTTTTGGATGCGTGACGGGAAACAGAGCAGGAAATTGGAATTGAATTTATATCTTCGAGAGACCTGCTCGAATTTGCTTCTGTTCGCGGCTCGCAACGTTGGTATGTTGTGACGCGTGAGGACGGGCTCTTACAAAGTCCCCATGTGATCGACGGTGGAGAAGCTTCTTCGGAGTGCGTCCAGTGGTGAGTGGGAGTGGAGTAATCAACATAAGATATATTTTCCACTGTCCACTACGCTATTCCTATTCAGTCAGTGAAGGTGCGGGTAGGCATTCTTAGAGGAGAGACACTCGAGGAACCGACAGGTTCCTCGAACAATACGAGTGAATTTGAGTATGTCATGTGCGTTGCTAATTATACGATTTTAAATCTGACAAAGAATTTCGCTGGTCTACATCAGCTGGCACTTCGAGTAGCTGTGTGCGTTTCCTCTCTTTATGCGTCGTCTTTCACGTTTTGCGTCTCTTATTTAGTTACAGTAATAATAATAATTGTAAAAGTAGATTACCCTCTAAGAGGAGAGAAGAAGCGAGGACAGAACAGAAAAAAACTAAATGATATAAATGAAAGAAACTAAATAGCAAAACATCGTATGTTGTATTGCAGTTATCGTTACAGAACATTAGATTTTGGCTCTACCGACAGGATTATGTTGAGTGCCCTAATCGTAGAAGATAACCCCAGAGTTCGGATGCGCTTTACAACTTCTGAGCCGAAAGGCGAAGCGTTTCGGCTTCCAGAGTAGATCACAATTCCGGACATGATTCAACCGGTCTCCGAAAAATCAGAATGTACATCGATGCCATTCTCCATGAAAGGACAGTCAAGATCAACGTAAAGGTTACAGACTTACAGAGCTTGATCAGAGGCCCCGTGGATGCGAGTCAAGCCAGTACCCGAGGCAACTCGGCTGTTCTTGGAAGCCTTCAGCGTGCAGTGGTTGCCAGCCCCGAGGATTCCAACTACCTTGTCCCTCCAGATACTAGTGGCACAGAAACAACAAATATCCTAGAACCAACGAATGCTTGAAGCTATTGTTGGGCTTTGGAGAAGACAAGAAGATCCATGCTAGGGGATAGTGATGTCCGACCAGTCTGATGGTCAGTCGATGAATTCAGAAGTCCGGACATCATTTATAAGAATACGTGTGAGAAGGATGATCGGAGTTCCAGTGAGGACAAAAATAAAAACAGGTGACTTTTCCTCGCTGCAATGGCGAAGAGGTGCAACGAGCCGGGCCTAACCGACCATCTCGGTGACTGCAGGGAACAATGGAAAAGGAGTTTTAGCTCTGCGTTGGTAAGAATCCCGTAAAAAAAATGAGATAAAGCCACATTCTACAAATAAATTCAAAGCACGAAACTTCGTCAAATATTTTGACGAAAAGGGCCGCCTGCTTGAGCTGGTATACTACACTTTACCAGACCCCATCGGTAGTCCTACTGATAAAAAACCTAGGAAGTAATAACACAACAGAAATACAGACAGGTTAACCTGTGGGGGAGATTGTCCCGGCTACTTACTACATTCATTTGATCTGTGTAAACCGTTCAGAGGAACGGTACGCATAATGTGCACTAGCGGCATCAACGCAAATCTGAGCAGCGTGTAAATTAACATCACGCTGTCACATGAAGCCAGCGTCTCGAATCTTTCTTCGTGTCACGTGACCTTACGTCACGCGCATTACGTACAACGCTCGTCTAGGTCAAAACGCCGAGGGTTGATCCCAGGATCGCTGGATTTTGCAGCGCGAGCTTTTGCTCTACGTGCTCCCAACTTCGCCGCGCTGACACACCCGGCCGCCGATGCCCCGTTAAAATGCATTGTGCGTGTGAAGATAACAGCAAGGCTGCATTCTTATCTTAGCCAAAGGACAGAAGTCTATGCAGCGCTCACTATCTACGTTCTCGTAGACTCTCCGTCATGGTGGTGCGCAGAAGCAACAGGAGGTTCGGTTCTGCGCTGGGGTAGATGCAGGGACTGTGGAAAGGTCGTGCTTGGACCTGGGTCGTACTCGTTTCTCACCGCAAGGGCAGAGGATTTTGCGTGGCGTCCTTTGGGGCCTCGTTCCAGCGTGGCTCCTTCTCTCGCAGATCTCGCCTTGGCGCTCTTCAACTCGGCTGCCCGAAGGTTGGACGCCAAGGTGGCCAGCGAGGCTCACCGCAAGTCACCCACGCTTCCCGGTAAGTCCGATTTGCAGTTGCACGGCTAACTCTAAACAAAAAAAAAAAAAAAAAAAAAAAAAACGGTATTAGTTTCTCACTGTCTGCGTGGCGAATGATCGTTCGTTCACTCAGCTGCATGTTCTCATTTTTTTTAGAGCGCAGCTCTAAGGCGCCCGTTTTCGGCTTGAGCGGCGTAACCGCGACCCCCCTCCCCCCCCCCTCCGAGGATCTCGGGAGGACCTCGGGAAGGGGGGGGGGGGGCACTTGACCCCCCCCCCCCCTCCGCCCCTCAGTACCCTTCCATACTCCTCCTCACAAGCTGCGCTGTAATTCGGCGTTACAGGGAGTTGCAAACGGCTTTCACTTTTATTATTATTATTAATATTATTATTGTTTTTGGTGCTGGTCTCCACACGCGGGACGAAAACAACAAAAAATATTTCACGTATATCTTAATCCTAGCGATGAGACACGGAATGCGTAGCTTCTTTCGAGGTGCGTTAGGTGTTTGTATACGAGGTTTCTGAGCTCGGGAGTAACGTTGGAGTTCAGCCAAATTTAACGTCCAATTCAGTTGAATTTAATCTAAAATTTCGGGTTTCCCCTAATGTTAGATTAGAAAAGCTTGCCGTTACACTAACTAGGACGTACGTGCGATAAATTCTGGGTGTTACACTTTTGCGTTATACTTCATTCGATTTTTTTAAAGCCCCGTCTTGTACGCAATTTTTAAAAGAAAAAAAATGTGAAAAAATTACGTTTCTTTGGATAGTTGTGATTGAAGGAATATACTTTCTTAAACGTGGAGAGTGTCATACGGCCATGGCTTGTAGCACTTTTTGACTTGGCACTCCTGCAACGGAAAACGTTCGGCTGGCATTCTTAATCGGTGAGTGAGAAGGACACGGGCCCCTCACTGACGTTGTGATTAAGATAAGCCCCGCTCTGGCCTCCGATGCTATAGCCTAATCTAGCACCAAGGTCTCGTTTAAGCTGAATGCTGACAGCAGCGTTCGACGCTAGCTTAGCTGTGTACCAGATCACACTCAAGTAGATCCCAGTTATTCTCTCGGATTATATCGTGCGATATAACGCTTAGGAAGGCAAGCTCGACCGGCAGGGTTTCCGAACGTCATGGTACAAAACATGTTACTCCGTAATGAAGTCGAGTGAATTTGAAACGCGGTTCATGTGGTACGACCTCGTGTCGAAAGCACCTCGTTGCCTCGTAAGCTGCGCGTGTCAAGCTACTCGTTGGATAGTCATTTTTCCGGAACATCTCGGGAGACCTCATAACACCATAGTCATAAGTTATAACCCCCCCTCGTCTCAGAGCTGACCCTTCATAAACGGGAATTCTATCATATCATAAACATGTTGTCTCTCTCTCTCTGTCTCTCTCTCTCGTGGTGAGGGGAATTGCGCTGCTGTTCTAATACACGCTCGTGCCGTCTCGATCGCTTCGTATATCCTGGAAGCTCGCACGATTCATTCTCTCTTATCATCGGGATGTAAGGACGCACGCACGTAAATCAGTGCGAACACAAAAGCTCAGGACATGCTCTATCCTTCAGCCTTATATTCCTTCTGAAATCACAAAATGTTAAACCAGCGTCAATTTCGTCTTCAATTAGTCGACAAAATCACGGGCCGTACACGTTTTTCCGAACAGGTGCTCCCACCTGGACGCGCGACCGAGTGGCTAAAAAAAAAAAAAACGCGTTCGCAAAACCTCTTCTACCCACTGGACACCCAAAACGTCAGCTAGATCCTGTCGACCCATTGAAACGCTGTGTTCCTAACTACGGCTCCAGCAAACTTCGCTTCTGACCCCAATGTAGATTATCTTGGTCCCTGACGTTGATACCCTGACGTTGATACAAAGAAGTCATCTCTCTCTTTCTCGACCAGAAGGAAGCAAAGAAAGAGTGAAGAGAGAAAAAAGAAATGACGCGCACAGATCCGCTACACCAGCTCGCGTGCACTTTGACTTTTTTTCTTTTTTTAAGGAAACATTTTGAACTTGGGAGTTTGCCTAATATCGCTTGCATGGAGAGTCCGGTTCCTTGTATCAGTGTGCTTCCCACTTCGTTGTGGGCGAGCAAGCTGACGGGATACAATTTGCAAAGTTTTGACATTGGTATCTTAAAACAAATGTCCAGTTCAAGAGTGTTTTATTACGATAATATAAATCTTTAATAAAGTCGACTGATAATATTCTCGGAAAACGACTCTTCTGATTGAAACGGCACCCACCTGCAGTCTTTCAAGCTGAAAACTGAAAAATATAAACCTTGCAACGCAACCAACTTGCAGAAACTACTACCATTTTGCCGATTCGAGCGCGTTGATGTGTGTTTGACGTCGTCAAGCGAAAATAAACACACACACACACACACACACAAACACACACACACACACACACACACACACAAACACACACACACACACACACACACACACACACACACACACACACACACACACACGCACGCACGCACGCACGCACGCACGCACGCACGCACGCACGCACGCACGCACGCACGCACGCACGCACGCACGCACGCACGCACGCACGCACGCACGCACGCACGCACGCACGCACGCACGCACGCACGCACGCACGCACGCACGCACGCACGCACGCACGCACGCACGCACGCACGCACGCACGCACGCACGCACGCACGCACGCACGCACGCACGCACGCACGCACGCACGCACGCACGCACGCACGCACGCACGCACGCACGCACGCACGCACGCACGCACGCACGCACGCACGCACGCACGCACGCACGCACGCACGCACGCACGCACGCACGCACGCACGCACGCACGCACGCACAAACAAACAAACAAACAAACAAACAAAGAAACAAAAAGGGGGAGGGGGGTTAGTTTGGATCACGCGACTGAAAAGCAATATGGCTCGGAATTTTGAAAAAACGTTATAAAGATTTTTTTTTTTTTAATAGAACAGTTGCAAAATAGGACCAGATTCAAACTTTTATAGACTTTGAAAATAATATATACAAATTCGTGGCCTATAGGCTGATAGAACAAGTTCTATCAGCCTATAGGCCACGGATAGGAGGACTACGCGAGGACAGTATTTGGTAAGCGCTAATCAAAAAGAATACGGGAATACAAGGCTCCAAATATGTCACCCGAACGTCAAAGATAGGTCTAGGGGAATTCGCAGTGCTTGATTGCTTCTGCCAATAAGAGCACGTACTGATATATGACGAATGTCATCGTGTTGCGCTTTTGACGCTGCTTGATCGATCCCATTCACTAGTAGCGCCGCCCGCTCTTCGACTTCACAGGAAACCAAGTGTATAGATATTGTTCTACATCCGCGCTGGCCCCGACATCGTCTCGAATGTTCCGACGATGTCGGCGATGTCAAGAGCTAAAAGTCGCGATAGAAACTTGCAAAATAGTGGGAAGGCGGCCACTGGAATGAGGCAGACCCAGGGTCTTCTACTTCTCGTGATATAACTTGATTATCTTGTCTGCCACATGCCTCCATGGCGTGGCTACAGTGTACCGTGGCACCTACGTCGCTCGCATCAACCTTCACGGCCTACCCCACACATTAGCGTGCGCGCGCGTCGAGCTTCCCCGCTTTGCACCGGTGTGCTAGGAGCAGCGGCTGACACGGGGGAGTGGCCTGGGTTAGCGCGATTGGCTCGGAAATTATGCTCAGAAATGTTACAGTTCGAGCTTCTTTAGTCTCAGCTGTAAATTGACATAAAAAAGAAAAAAAAAACTGTGTTGAGAAAGGAGAAAAGGCGGGGGTCTCCATTTGAATAAATTCGATAGTCGAGGTAGTCTCCGTGCAGCAGTCAATCGAAAGGGGCAGCGAACATCGACTCAACTCTGGTTCGAACGCCGCTAAGGCGCAGTTTTATTTTAGAACACAAGTGTAGGTTTTCATAACACTCGTGGGGGGCGGATTTTTTGCAGTTTATGATGTTAGAATCTCGAGTTGGTTGTTCGTAATCTGGGAAAAGGGGGGGGGGGGGGGGGGGGGGGGCACTGTTATTGATGGACGTTTTACCGGACATGCAGATTTTTTGCCAGCATTGTACATAAATTATATTGACAGGCTAAATTATCTACTGAGTGTTACTTGTTACAGGGGGAGGGAGGTGGGAACTTTATCTCAACAAAACTGTTAAGCTAAGCTTAAAAAAAAAAATAAAAATGTAATACCCGTTATAAATAGAACCTACTCTGACCTGGGCCTTTATTTTTAAAAGAAGGCTGTGTGGCCTTCCTGCGTCCCATATATTCGTACTGCAAAAGATAATAAGAAATATGTTTCAGTATTAAAGGGAAATCCTCAGTCACTTTCAGATAAGAACTCGTTCAGCGATGCAATCACATTTTCAAGTGACGTGGTTACAGATTTTGTCATCTGCCACAAAAGCCCCTACGGAAGGTTTATAGCCGCTCCCATTACCGTAATTATAAAAAAAAAAAATAAATAAATAAAAAATAAAAAGAGGAAGCTAGTTAGGTTGGAGAAGCATGGTCGCCGCTCCTGACAAAACGCCAACTATACTCCACATTAGTTGTTTTCTGACAGGTTGTTTAGGCTAGCGTTGCTTCCGTACTGCTCCAGCTCCGCCAAAGCTACTTGTTCAAACAAATGCGGCAGAAAGTCACGTGCCCGTGCTCTCGCAAAACATTCAGGGCTGCAGCACTGTGAAATCTACCCAATGCTAAGCTATAGGCTCGACAACGGTAGCACAAAATAGTTGACGCCGAGTAAAAGCGGCTTTTACTCAAATCGGAGTGTACGACCCCCATTATCTGCCACGAACTAAATAGGACTGGCCATTGCTGTTCCGCACAAAAAACCCCAAGCGTTCCTCTATATCCTCGGCCGGTTGCGCCGTTCAGTCGCCTTCCCGAGCATGGAAGCGGCGGACCGTTCCGGGAAAACGCCGGTCGGCGCATCCGATGTCCAGCGTCTCCCGGGCGGCCAAATGAACGACGGCGAACG